TTTTTTTTTTATAAAATAAATAATATTATAATTTTAACGTTAATATAATATTATAATAAGCCRCTGCCCCCGCAGTGTAACGCCTGACACTTCACTATTTCATTATTTTTTTGTAAAAGATCGCGTTTTATTTTAAATTATTTTAGACAGGTATGAATATAATTTAGTATAGATAGTATTTACGCAATGTGATATATATATATATATATAATTATATATACACCGCAATTGTATTATATGATATACGAAAAAGTAGACTGTTTATAATATATATAATATATATAACTATTTATATATTATATATATAATATATATATAAAATATATAACGAACATACGATGACTTTGAATTATTGCTGTACCTACTTTTTACATGGTAACGAACTATAAAAATACACAAAAACTACAATTGCAACATTTCCAATAAGACAATAAGTATTTTAATTGTAAATACCAATTTCAGATCATTTACAATTTTTAAATATTTACTTTTTTTGTGATATTACGATTATTACGAGTGCTATTCGCTGTCTTCAGGAGTTCAGAGCTGTAATTTGTCTAGGTAAATTTTGTTTTCCTCAACTATATGAGTGAACTGGTGACATACTATTGCGTCCCTATTAGTGCCACAAGTGAACTTATGCTGGCTGACATAGGTGCTAAATACGAAAACGGTTAAGTAACTACCGACAAGAGTGTACAAACGAACAAGATTTGTCTAAAAATACTTATATTAATTTTTTATATAAATTATATTTAGGTATTAGTGGCGGCGCAAGAGGAATATTAATTAGTAATTACTATTGTAAAGAAAATGTTTTTGCTAAAATGGCGAGAGCGGTGGGTATTATGAAAACATGGTACATTATTGGTTTATACCACGAACATGAAATTTTTAAGCATTAGAACAAGACAAAGTCAGGTGTGCCACCCATAACATAATTTCATGGAAAATTTTCATATTTATTGCTGGTTAATACATATATTATTATTAAAGTCAACAAACAGAAATAAATAATGGACGAATGCTTATTTTATGATAGCTTTTAACTAATTAACCACTATCGATCATTAAACATTCATCAAACCCGGATTAAGACCTTCAGGGGCCCAGGAGCCAATACATGGTCGTGGGCCCCCATCAA